CGCCGGTGAAAGCCTCCACCGCCACCGCCGCGACTCCGGAACCGATCCCGAGACATTGCTGCAGTCAAGGGGCGGTTGAGGCAGAAGCGGAGAAGTCGCTCAGGGAACGTGGATGCCACCTTGCTTCGCACAAAATGGCGGACGACACAAGCTGCGCGCCGCCTTTGTCCTCTTCTTAAATAGGCCAGTTCAGCCTGGCCCGCCTTCCCTAGATTGACAGTTATCTCAGCCAATAGCAAGTACAGTACATGATGACGCCCTCTTAATCCTCCCTATTGGCTCCCTCGAGAGAGGCGGGAGGAAGGGAGGGGCTAAGGTTTCCATTTGACCTATGAAGGGATAAAGAGTTGTGAATACGCCCCTGTGATTTGTTGGAAGAAATTTGAATGGGCATGCCTCGCAACTTTCCCGTGAAATCAAATGTCCCGGCTCTTTTATTCTTCTTTGAACAGTCCGCTATTCTTGTCCAGAAAAAGTTGTTCACTAGTTCAGAGTTATAAATTGAGCACCTGCTATCTAACTATTCTTGTGCCGGTCATTGAAGTTAGAGAAAAATCTCACAGAGCTTAACCACAAGATTTTATTTAATTAAAATCCCACTGGAGGCTATCAGGTTTGGCATGTGAGCCCATCACTTGGAAGGTGGAAGCAGACTGATCAGGAGTTCATTTATCTCTACATTATCACCTACATTCAGTTTGAAGCCAGCTTGTGCCACATGAAACGTCAAAAAAAATAAGAAAAAAGAAAAACAAAAATGGGAACACGTTTGTTATAGTACTATAAAATTTGCCATTAGGCTTAAGCGAATACAGTCTTTGTCAAAGAGGAAAACTGGGTTAGAGAGCATAGGACACCGTATTTGTGGTTACGGCTTTCTTGACATGCAGAAGGCTCAGTTTAATCCCTACATAGGGGTGAAAGAGATAGATATTACTACATGTGTGTATACAGTAATAATTTAAAAACATAAATCATGAGAGAGGAGCATAAGTTTTTCTATTGGTTTTGTTTTTTCGAGACAGAATTTCTGTATGTAGCCTTGGCTGTCCTGGCTCTGTAGACCAGGCAGGCAGGTCTTGAAGTCAGAAATCTGCCTCCCTCAGTCTCCCAAGTGCTGGGACTAAAGGCATGCAACCACCAGATTGATTGAGATTTTGTTCTTTTTATTCTCTCCACTTAACATTTCATGAACAGATAAGTGACTTTGAAAATTAGTTGGGTGAGAGCCAGGGGTGCTGGCACATGACTTTAATCCTAGTACTTGGAAGGCAGAGGAAAGTATGTTTATGTGAGTTGAGAGGCCAGCCTGGTCTACACAGAGAGTTTCAGAACATTGAGGGCTACATAGAGAAACACTGTCTCAAAAAAATAAAACAAAAATTAGTTGGCTGGGATGACACTCTGTAATTCCAAAATTTAGGCAGTAAAAGCTGGAGGCTCATAGCCTGCATCATTTACATATCATGTTCTCAGACAGCCAGAACTACTAGGTGAGACCCGGTTTCAAAAAACAAAAGTTACATGCTGGGCAGTGGTGGAGCATGCCTTTAATCCCAGCACTCAGAAAGCAGAGACAGGCAGATCTCTGTGAGTTCGAGGCCAGCCTGAGGTCTACAAGAACTAGTTCAAGGACAACCAGGACTATTACACAGAGAAACCCTGTCTTGAAAAACAGAAAAAAATCACAATATTATATATTATGTTGGGTATACTATAATCGCAAGACTCAAGAGGCAAAGGTAGATCTCTGGAAACTGCAGACCAGCCTGATCTACATAGTGAGTTCTAGGCCATCAAGAGCTATACAGTGAGGGGCTGGAAAGATGGCTCAGTGGTTTAAGAGCATTGCCTGCTCTTCCAAAGGTCCTGTGTTCAATTCCCGGCAACCACATGGTGGCTCACAACCATCTGTAATGAGGTCTGCAGACATACACACAGACAGAATATTGTATCCATAATGAATAAATAAATAAATATTTTTTTAAAAAAAGAGCTATACAGTGAGACTCTAGTGAAAAAAAATTATAGAGAGTTAAAGAGAAAGCTCTTTATTGCTAGCCTATCTTGCAAGCCCTTTTCTACTTTGAGGCTCTAGGTTCAATCCTCAGTTCCACAAAAACAAAAATCTAAATTTTATAGGATATGAAGGTATTGATAAGCCTCAGTATGAAAACAACGAATTGTCAGTATCCCTTTTCCTTAAAAGTTCTCAAATCCCCCAGTGTTGGGCCAACAAGATGGTTAGTTCAGACACAGGTTTCCGCTACCATGCCTGATGATTTGAGTTCAATCACTCCGACAAACATGGTGAAGATAGAGAACTGACTGCATGTCAAGTTGTCCTTTGATGTGCACACGTGTACATATATAGATGTACCCACAGCATAAATACTTTCTAAAAAAAATTCCCAGTCGCCAGGCAGTGGGCACACACCTTAAATCCCAGGGCTTGGGAAGCAGAAGCAGGTGGATCTTTCTGAGTTTTGAGGCCAGCCTGGTCTACAGAGCAAGTTCCAGGTCAAGGCTCCAAGGCTACACAGAGAAACCCTGACTTGAAAAACAAAACAAAACCTTTGTTTCTGGTCCACGGTAACCTGATAAAATGATTCCAACAACTCCTCTGCTTCCACAGATCCCTTAAATTGTCACATTAAATTTTGTTTTGTTTTGTCCTTTGGCCTTTTACAGTTTATGGTGTGTGTGTGTGTGTGTGTGTGTGTGTGTGTGTGCTCACATCATGAATATGGAGATTAGAGGACAGCTGGCCAGAATTACACAGAGATCCTGTCTCAAAACAATGAACACAAAACACAGGGATCTCTAAAGTCACCCACGTGTTCTAGCCTAAAAGACAAAAGGTGTTGAGTCTGAAAAGTGTAATCAGCACATCACAGAAACTTTTTGAAACTTCTTAGAAGAATGTTTGTCTTCGGATTTAATAGCAAATTGAGGGAATAAACGGGGATGGCGGTTAATGTCTATCATCCCAACACCCAGGAACTTAAGGAGACTCACTGCAGGTTCAAGGACAGCCTGTGCCACACAGTTCTAGGCCAGCCAGGGTCTGTGTAACAAGACTCTTTGTAAAAGAGTGTCAAGGTGGCATATGCCACCATGTCTAGCATGAAGATAATAATTTCTAAATATTTAGTGGGAGGGCAAAAATTATCTTTATTTGGGGCTGAGAATATGGCTCAGTGTGCTCACCTAACATTTGTGGCTCAATCCCCAACACTACATAAAAACCAGCATGGTGGCACATATCTGCGTTGCCAGGTATGAAAGTGGATGCAGGAAGAGCTGAAGTTTAAGGTCACAAATTGCATTCGAGAACAAGCTGGGCTTCGTGAGATTCTGTCTCAGACTTCTTTATTCTACTGAATCAAAACTACTCAGATTAGATTGTATCAGCCACTTAGGTCTCAACAAGGCTGGATGGCCCTGCAGAACGAGAGATAAAGCAATTGGAAGACAGACTAGACCCAGCTTCATTCAACATCATTACCCCCTACTGGATATTGGAGTGCATTTCTGTTAATAGGTCCTGCAGCCCCAGCACAGTAACAGTAGTTCTTCTGAGTGAGGGACCTTGGGATTCACACACAACACAACTTCAGGTTCTGCAGACAAGCCTTTACTCCACTTTCTCACACAGTATATATAGCCCTCAGCAGGGGAGGCTGAGCCAGCAAAAGCAAGAAGCTCATCACCGTAGGGATAAACATCTTTAGAAACATTGCTGAAAACAAGACTGTTTTGTTCTTGTTTTTACTCTTGTTTTCGGGACAACCAACCACAGAGTGCAAAACATCAAGTGGGGGCTTAAAGACCTGTCCTCAAGGGACCCAACAGGTCCCACTTTATGAGACAAGAAAAGCAGGAAAACCAGTGGATATGCTGACATCTTACAGACATTGTCTAGCCTTGTGTTCCAAAAAGCCAGGTACGGTATCACAGCATAGGACCACCAGCCTATAAGGACATCAACGTCAGCATGGTCATGGATCAAGAAGATAAAGCCCATGAAGACTCTGGAACGGTTCATAGGTTTGTATCAGCCAAGCCTGGCCCGCACTCAGTCAGATGACACTCAAGAGTTTCCTCCTTCTTTCTCTTCCTGATATGGTCACAGT